TCTGCATCTACTCAGTGTATCACATGCTTAGCTACTGAAAGTCACATAAATACTAAGCATACCCCAGGATCTCTGTGCTGGCAACTGTACCAGTAAACAAGAACTGCAGCTTGCTCTTCCTAAAGGAACGCTGAATAATCTAGTGGTAAAGGCAGAAGAATAAATGTCACCTAGTCAGCCTATGATTTATAACTTTATTTACCACATCTCAGCCTCCATAAAGAAGTTTTTGGGCTAGGCTGTAGTTAGGATGCAAAATGCCAAACTACTTAAGTCTAGTAGTTAATTCCTTGGCAAAGTCAGATTAAAATAAAAGTTTTGGCAGCAACTTTCTTACTTACAGTGAGTTCTTCACCCTGAACTTGTTTTTTCAGCTGAAGACCTCTGAGGTGCCTGCTGTACAGCAATAAATTTCCCCATGACTCCTCTGGTTTTGGGAAGAGCTTTCTGACACCGGCAGTACAGGCACCTCCTGCTCCTCTTGGATACCTCCCAGGTTGCATTCCCCCTTGTCTTTCCCTTTCACTTGTCTCACCTTGTTGCTGGCAGCTCAATACATTCTCTGCTCACCGGGTAGCAAGAACAATTCTCTCTTCCTGAAAGGTTTCATCTGACAGGAGCACACCCCCAGAGAAAGCAAGAAACCCACCTTTCTTCCTGCTGCCCAGTCACAGCCCTGTAAACATTTTTCATACAGTACACCTTAGTATTGGTAAACTATGAATAGATGAGATTACAGAAATATAAGAGATCTAGGGTGCACTACGCATCATCTACACCACTCAGAAAATGTAGTGTCAGGATCTGTTGCTTACCCTTATAAGTGTTATAAATGCAAAGGCAATTTCGGGTTATATAAAAGAGAAAATTTATTATCAAACAATAATAAATTCGAACAAAGAGAAAAAACCACAATAAAATAAGCAGCGCAGCGCTGGGTGGACAGGGTCTATACGCAAGGTATAGATGCTCCCAAATCCACGCCTGAGAGTCTTTTGGCCTGGGTTTTTATAGGCAGTTTGTGTCCTGAGGCCAAATTCCAAGCAGGCACCCTTTGCTAAGAGGTTCTTGATTGTTCGAAGAATAGATTTCCTGGCACTGGAGAATAGGGTCAATAGACGTTGGGCAGAGGCTCCTCATATGTAAAGAGGTCCAGGATGTCTTTTTGATATCATTTTGGTCCGGGCCATTAGGGTGGAGTGGTGGCACCCATCCTGGAGCCGATGGCTATCTCGGCTGTCTCCTCTTCCTTTGTCTAGTTTCTCCATTTCTCCAGCACAGGTGGTCAGGGTGGAGGTGCTCAGGCTCCGCGATATCTCGTCCGGGCCCGTTCTTTTGTTTGTTCGATGGCCCGTGTCCTGCCCATTCTTTCGGGGCTGATGTGCCTGCTTGCGATTGTTATCTGGGTACTTGGCTGTAATCTGTTGCTTTGGAAGAGAAATCCTGCCTCGACTTGGAGGAGGATTTCTCATTCCATATTTTCATCATTTACAATTACATATACTTTATTTAAACCTTTTCTTTCGAATTTTTATTCATCCAATTCTTTATTACAGTCCCCCACCTAATAATTTGACTACATTAAAAATTCGTATTATTTTATTCAATCTTACAGAGGGATGAGTGTGAGATTAACCACATTCACTTTTCTCCCAGTCTGATATTTTGCTTTTAGGATTTAACTCGTCTTTATCTCTGGAGAAACAGAATACTTGGTCAAATTGTAAACATACCCGGTTAACTTCACTTTTTAACAACTCTAAAATTATTGGTTCATTATTGAAGGAAGCTTTTGTTTCATGTTTCAAATTTCTATCTTCTTAATACATTTTTCCACTTATAGTACACGTTTTCAAGTTCGCTTTATTGTAACATAGGATTGATTTTGAAATATGCTACAAAGGTGGATTGTCTTTTTCTTCTGATCTAGATGGTCTTATTACATTGACTATAAATTGAAATCGGAGGAATCCCTCCCACTTCTCTCTTGTACCTGAAGTGG